AGTACAGGATAAAATATAATAAGTAATTAATTTATTTCAATAATAATAAAAGTAAAACAAACAAATGAAACTAAATATATAAATGTACCATATTAATAATAATAATAATAATAATAATTCGATTCATTTATTGAATCATATTTCACAAATAAATGGGATAATTACGATACCTAAGTAATATAATTAAATTTAATAATTCTAAATAAAATAAATAATACTAAATTCAATTCAATTCAATTAATTAAATCAACCGTAGCATTATGCAGCCAGAAGTTTACTTCGATGTTGTGCCTTATCGCATTCAGTAAATATCTGAAGTACCAGCATTGTCATTCCACCCATATTTGTTGTTCTGTTGTGAGCGTCGTTGCTGCATATGACGTCAGTCGTACCGGCGCTATGACGTCATTTGCGTGTTCTCCTTTTCTAGATCGATTCTTCCCTCTCTGTAGAGTTCTTTGGCAGATCAAGGCGAAGAGTGTTTTGGGAACAATGTTAACCATTTTAAAGCCCAGTGGTAACTATATGTACCGCCTAATTTAAGAATGAATAATTTTTGTATTTTTCTCACACGATGTGTTTATGATTATTGCTGAACAAGAGTTATAATTATATTTTCTTTGAGGTAGAGACTGAATTTTTAAATATTGTTTGTATGATCGTCGGCTTCAGAGGGTTGACGATGCTGTTAGGAGGCATCGTTTTGTATGGGTGCGAAACATGGTCTCTCACTCAGAGGGAGGAACACAGATTGCAGGTGTTTGAGGAGGATATTTGGGCCTAAGAGGGAAAACGATGGGACATGGAGAAAACTGGAAGCCTGAGGGGAAGAGACCGCTGGAGAAACCTAGACGTAGATGGGAGGTTAATCTCAGGCGGGATCTATGGGAGATAGGAGTTGAAGGAGACTGGATTTTGTTGGCCCAGGACAGGGTCCGGTGGAGGGCTTTGGTTAATTCGGTGATGAACCTTGGAGTTCCGTAAGCCATCTAGTTAGTTAGTTAGTTAGGAGGCATCGAATAATTAGTGAATAATGACTTGGAAAGACCGTGGACGGACTTTGTGGTGGCCTACTGCCCCAAACTTTGTCTGGAGGGGCTGATTAAAATCACGTGAAAGCTGTCCGGACAACTGGTCTCCGGATCGAGATTTGAATCCAGAAACTCCAGAATATTTAGGACTGATACGACCTTCGATCGCATTGTGTTATCTATTCTTGGAAGGATCATAAGTACTTCTGTCACCGTCACCTTTAACAGTGGCCTTCGGGTGTGTTTGCTGTACAGAACTGCCTTTTCCTTGTTACTACGGCCATTCCGTCCATGCATTTATCTATTTATTTTTCCCCATCGCAGCGCCGCCAACGCATAATTGTCTCAGTAGTTAAACAACGAAACAGTCAAAATCGCTCACTGTATGTTTCGTGTTCTTAAAGGCTTGTGTGTTCAAAATACGTGTTTTAATGCGCAAATAGCAATAATACTCTCGGTACGGTCCTTAGAGTTCCTGCAATTCATGCACCGATGGTCATCAGATGATGTAGGTCCTTGTAAAACGCCGTCCTGTCTCATAAGTTGTTTTTCTTCGGTGCTAGTTACGCAGAGACGTTTCTTCAGAAGCGACGAAGGCGGTGGGCGACAGTCAAGGGCCTCCCTCACACCTGTGCTTACGTATATCTGAAATGCTTTGTCGTCGTAAATTGTTGCCGTAGTTTGTCTTGTGCTTGTACTCTGAGACCGACGACAATGACGAAGAGATTTTGAACGTTGTCGATAAAAGCTTGTGGAAAGTAAACTTACATTTTTTTAAAATATACCTTCCATGAAATTATATTGTTGACGGTGTATTGTTTGTGTATTGCTGGGTCATATTATCAACCGTTCTCTTGATTTTTTTAGATATAATTAACAATTACAGCCGCCACGGTGGTCTATCGGTTACAACGCTGGCCTTGTAATCCTGGGGTCTCGGGTTCGATTCCCGGCGGTGCCCGAATTTATAACTTGTGTTGGGCAAGGCCGTGGTCTAGGCAACACGGAGTTTTCCTCCGGGGGCATCCCAACAATTACTCCATTCACACACAGAAGAAGGCAATGGCAAACCACTTCTGGATCATCTGCCAAGAACGTATATGAACAGGTCCCAGTCCGAGAAAAGGATGGAAGGATCCGGTTCATATGGACCTGTCGTCAGACAGAACACTAAATAATAATATAATAATAAAGTGGCAATTGTTTACGATCTGTGTTACCCTTCTTTAGTACCTACTGTAACGGGATGGAATTTCACAAGGATTGACGTATATGCCAACCATATTTCAACCACATTTAATCATTTGTTGTTGTTTTTTGCGAAAAGTCTAGGGCCTTAGGCGAGGGGACGTCTCTGTATGTAAAACACACAATATCTCAATCCGTTAATTTTATCGAATAAAGTAATATGCATCCACGGGTAGTGTGGTCATTAAAGGCAGTTTAGTCTTTTATTAAACAGGAGTGACATTTAAATATTGTAATCGATGTATTTCTGCGACCAAGAGGTGTTCATTCTTAATATAGTTTCAGTAACACGCGTTACAACAAATCAGTGTCATTGAAGCGTGTTAGGTTTCTGTTATAGTAGATTTTAGGTATTATACGTTTCTTGTTAAATTCGGTTCATAAAGCGACTACAACCCGATTTCACTGCGGTCAGTAAGATAAATTGTTTAACGGGAATTTGTAATCATAATATGGTCAGGAATTTAATCGCGGAGGTTCAGGTTCGCGCCCAGGCCAGTCCATGTGCGATTTGTGGTGGGTGAAGTGGTACTGTCGTATACTTTTCACCGCTGCTCGATATTCGGTCGTGTGTCATCTGAAGGACGGACAGAACGTCCGTTATAGACCCATTTCCACAGAGACCAAGTCTTATCACATCGCAACGATAACATGGTATGTGTGTCCGTTTGTCCGTAAGCCTGTTTCCCCTGTAAAAATCCAAGGATATACTTCGTGGCTGACGTAGAGTGGAAATATCAGAGTGAATTTTTAAAAAGTCTGTCTCATGATAACGCCTGGTGATTGGGGCTGTTGTGAACACGATAATGAACCTTAAGGTTCTGTAATATGAAGGGGATTTCTTTACAGGTTGACCGGCTGCAGTAACCGTCACCAAATTTCATGCTTGAAGGTCACGGAAGGACTTAAATCGCCTTACCTCGTGGCTGATGCCACGGTGGTCTAGCGGTTAGAACGCTGGCCTTGTAATCCTGGGGTCTCGGGTTCGATTCCCGGCGGTGCCCGAATTTATAACTTGTGTTGGGCAAGGCCGTGGTCTAGGTATCACGGAGTTTTCCTCCGTGGCATCCCAACAATTACTCCATTCACACACAGAAGAAGGCAATGGCAAACCACTTCTGGATCATCTGCCAAGAACGTATATGAACAGGTCCCAGTCCGAGAAAAGGATGGAAGGATCCTGTTCATATGGACCTGCCGTCAGACAGAACACTAAAATAAATAATAATAAAATAACCTCGTGGCTGTAACGAGTATGGAGTTGCTAACTTTGCTACGCAGCGAATTATGAGCCGTCTTCACTCGCCCTGGCTCCTCTGTTCGTGGTGAGACGTTGTATGATTTTGCAGTGACCTAGAAGCATGCAGTTTGGTGACGGCTGCTATAGACTTTGAGCTTCTCGAAGAATGAATGTGCTTCATGAAGTACGATTCATTCCTGAGGTAATTTATTTCCTCGCTGGTGATATTGTAACAGGCTAAAATTGGATGTTATTTTGTGGAGGTGTAAAAACTGCACTGATTTTAAACACATTTAGTTCTTTTAAGGAGCCGAGATTCAATTATTTTTTTAAAATTTAATGTTGGTCTGGTCGTGTGTATGTAATCTGTTTAACGAGAAGTATAAGGATCATTAATCACATTTTTGGGGGGGGGGGGGTGCTCGTATTTTGCGTTTCGCGAATCTGCAACACCTCAATGTTGTCCGCATTTGACCTTGAACGACAAAGTATGAATGTTCCGTGAGCATAAGGGCTGTTTTATGAATGAAAACTGGACCAGTAGCTGAATGTAGACCTTAGCTGAGAAAACATTTTAGGACATTTGGATTCATGGGGCCTGGGTGAACTTGTTCCGGGAATACAGTTCTCCAGCCAGCGAGCAACCGGGCTGTAGGCTGCCACCTCAACCCTCGGCTACCACCGACGGTTTACCTTTGACATTTACCAAGTTCGCAGGCAAGCTATCGGCGGATCCTGGGAATAGACGACAGGGGAAGAGGAAAGGGGGCTCTATAATCAGGACCTGCGCGTATCATGTCTCCATGATATCTACCCTCCCGCCACTCTCCTAACACCCCCGTCTCAAAATCTTCCTTATTCAA